GCCATTGCTGTGTGATGGCTATCGGACTGTCATAAAGCTGGGAGCTTCATCTGAAACTGATTTTAAAATGGGAAATGTAAAATTGAATTACCAATCAGTTTCTAATCATAGCATGGCAAAAATAACTATTATGAGATTTAGATGGACAGTTTCAGGTAGCTAATAAATGTCTGAAGTTTCAGACTTTTACTCAAGGCATTCCCTTAACCTTTGCAAAGTTCTTAAACCAGCATCTCTTGAGGACTGGACATTGACACCTAAGTGTTTGACTTGGGTTTGCTGAAGCAGTGACACATACAAAAGTTACAAGACTCCAACTGCCAATGACTAGAGTTTTACATCCCTATTCTATCTAATCTGACTAGATGGCATATTTTGGAAGAAAACAATGATGCAAACTCAGAACCATAAACAATATGGATCGTTCTCTTTCTGTAAAATTGTCCTTCAAAAAATACTAATCATCAGAATGGAAGTTATCAAGCTCATTTTATTGATCATGAGATTAACTGCTAATTGTAAAAGGTTTAGTCCCTTTTTTGCACAGGCTACAGATTTGCAGCTAAATAACTGTTCAATTTATAACTATTGTTTTATTGCTAAACTTAAGTTGTCCATTTGTATTTCTAATTATTTCTTCCTTGAACTCAAATATGCAACTGGTGAAATAATGAAAAGTAAGCTTTTTTTAAAAAAAACAGTCTATAGTGAATGCAACTACAGTGTTGTTGGGGAGACTGATATATCTGGTTTCAATTGGAGTTTATTTCAACTTATTGATCCTCTGGCAGGCAGTCTATTTATTTTGAGTGAAACTGCCTGTGGTATGGTATCTTCACTCTAACTCAAAGACAGAAGCCTGACTTCTCCATAAGTTCTCATCCTTCATTTAATGGAGACTGGATAAAGAGGACACGTCCCCATTAAGTGACTAAATAAACACGTTTAGATCTTCACAGTGTGAATAATGCCAACCCACGCACACACACACATGCACAGACAGGCCTCAGCTGTTTTCTTCTGCTGCGGTAAACAGATTAGCTGACATGAGTTTGCTTTTCTTACCGCTTGCCTTTTTGTTTTCTAAATCAAACTCAGGTGTCTTTTCTAACCAGCTGTCGGCTCCCCTACTGACTTCAGCATCTGTGATTATTAATTATCTGAACTGGGTGTGGATGAGGGATTTCACTCCTCCTCCAAGAGCTGGCCACAATCCTGCTTCACCAGCCAAACATCAGTTTGTAAATCTGCTATGCTGGCTTTCGAAGCCCGATTCAGAGGAGGAGGGCGACAAGCAGAAAGGAAGGATTAGAAAGACAACCACATTTGCAGAATTGGGTAAGCTGGAAGAGAAATGGATCAGCATGAGCTTGTTGGAGTGTTCATACTGTACATGAGGGGATGAGATGGGACCAGTATCTTTGCATGGAAGTGCTGAGTCATGCTGTGGCGTTTACACAGATGCTGTGTGAAGCGTGTATTGAGCTGGCCTGTATCGCTCAGCAGCCTGTCTATCTCTAAAGGAGGGGGATGAAGGAGTCCTGTGTTCTCATCACAGACAGCAGAAAGCAAAGCAAGTATCAGCAGGAGCAGAAAACAGTTTGGATGACTCTGTTAAGGCTTTGCATGTTTCCAGGTTACAGCTACATAATTATGTTTATCCTCCTCAATAAGGCGTGATTTCTGTTTGATTTAGCTGCTGTCACTTCACGTTACTGTTCACACAGCTGCTCAGGGTTTTGTTTACGCCCTTCTGGTTAACAGGAACATTGATAACACGAGAATAATTTTGTCTGAAGCTGAGATTTATAAAGATAAAGCTCAATAAAATATATAAAATCAGGCTTAGCACTGTAAATACAAGACTTGTTTTAGAATTTCCTATATATCGGCCTCAGTTGCAAGATATATTTAATTAACTTCAATTCTTTTTAATGCTCCATGTCTGTTTTGCTGCATTGAGAAGCATTTTCACATTTGATACTGTCATACTTAACATGCTACATAGTGAGATTTACTTTACTTACTGTTTAACCCTTCAGTGTTTTGTAATTTATGTTTTTGATCACCACCACCTCAAAGTGTTCACCATAACATTAGGTGGTCAATAGGTGGCACTGTTCACAAGCCTAAAAATTGACATTCAGTGAAAGTGTCAGAAAATCTAACAAAGGGGGGTTTTTTGCCAAGGACTGGCGAGGACTACAATCCAGAGTAGTCGACTTCCTGAAACGTTTTAAGTACATGACATCAGTGTAAAAATGATATAAAGTATGTCACTTTCTGTTTGCGGATAGAGCTAAAGTGTTAAAATTAGATGGTTGCTGTGTTTTGATAGCAATTTGTGATGATCAGATTGAATACATAGTAAATTACACATTTTATGGTGAGAACTTACATTTTTGCACTTGACCACGGCCACATGTTTAGCCATCAAAGACACAAGGTTAATTTTACGTTGCTAAGTAGAAATTTGTGGAAGTTTGCTTGAATTCACAAAATGGTATGTTTGATCCAAATTGATTAGCTTTCTGTATGATGGTGAACTTTGTACCTGCGTCTAGCTTCTTACCTGTAGTAAGATGCAGTTTGAAGCTAATGTTTAAAAGTGTCAAGAAATCCAGCAGTGTAGTAAAATTCATAACATCTTGTGGTCAGTGGGCAAGGACAAGGTAATATTATAACGTAGGCATATTGAGGAATGGATTCTGCTGAAAACTTTTGTTTTTTGTTTCTTTGTTTTCTTTTTTGGATGTAAATCAGAAATCAGATTTTAATGCCTGGCCTGTATGAGAAGGTTTCTAAAAGAGTGAAAAGTTGCATAACTTTCACTCTCCAATACCTTAAGAATTTGCAGATTCATTTTCAGAGTGCTATACTGAAATCTCTCAGAAGGGTTTGGTGTATAAGATTCATAACATTGCAGACTTCCTAAAGGGCTTGACGTCATGAGAGGGCCTACTATTTTGTGCGGCAAATTTTATTAACCTCAGTAAAAAATCTTCTAATAAATTTCTATGAATAGATTTTGACATAATTTAGCATTTTATGGGAAGCTATATTGAATGTCGATATAACTCAAATAAATATTTCTGTCTGTCTTCGGGCATTCTAAATGTTTACCAATTTTTAAATCTGGTTTTGAGAGCAGTGGAGTAATGTTTCACCACTTTTTTTGTTAAAGTGAAATTTCAACTGAACTAGACATATGTGCTGAATTTGATTGGTTGCACGTAAAACGTAGAATTTCTAAAAGATCTTTTGTTTTACATAAAAAATCAAGTAAACACTTTTCCAACAGGTCTTTGCACAGGCTTCAGTGATCAAGTGAAATGTATTTCTGTATATGTATAAACACTTGTAATTTCATATTTAGGTCAATTTAAAGTGTTTCTATGTAAACAACTCTATTGACTAGCATATTATAGATTTGCCTGTAGATGTGCCCACTGGGAATCTTCTTCCTGTCATCTCCACAGGGAGGTTCAGTATCTGAATATTGACTGTTTGTGATCACATTTCTCAATAGGAGATGCGAAGCAGTGGAACAGAAGGAGCCTCTTATTCTACACTGTGTTGTATTTTTGTTCTTCTATCCTTCATAAGCTCTCCTCCTACATTGTTTCTTCTGCTGGGGCTTCAGTTGCACAACAAATGCCAAGTTATAGTTGATTCTCAAAAGTATGGCAAACGCCCTCAGGAAGCGACGTTATTGTTTCAGTGATGAATCACACCAACAGTTTGTTCAATAATAGGAGGCAGGCTTGAAGACCTTGAGTCACAATGTGCTAACTTGCAGGATTGAAATAGTTTTAGCTGACATTCACTGCTCCAGGGTGACTGGCAAATTTACTATGAAGAGCAATCTATATTTTCACCGTGAAATCCGATCTGATCTAGCTGATGTCATAACGGTCAAGTGAACTTGCTGTATTGATGCAGAGCTTTGTCTGAACTGCTCCATTGCCTCTGTTTATTCACTGAGGAAGGTACATAAGCTGGGCAGCTGTGTGTCGGTAATGTATTGATTGAAAGTGAGATTAGCATGTGCTGCTGGAGGACAGATGGTTCAGACCTCAGCTCTGTGGTCACTGCATTGACCAATGCATGCTCTGCAGGCTCTGACAACAATCTGTTAATACACTGAATTTGTTTTCAGGCTTTCAAGAGCAAATTAGGACATGGTGTTTCTGGATTTTTCACCCTGAAGAATAAATTTTCCTTTTCACAATGGCTGGTTCACTTGTAAGGAATCGCTGATGTTAAATTTGGGACTTTTACCGGGATCTCTTTTGATAGACCAGCATATTATTTGTTAAGCTTGTGGTTTGCATAGTTTTTGACAAATGGGAATGTGCAAAATTGTGAAGAAGTCATTAGGATTACAGCTAGAAGTTTATTAGAGTGTGTTGTTTCAATGTTACAAAATATGAAAAAAACAGATTCTAACACCTGTTCAAGGTTAATAATAATCTGTTTTCTACTTTTAAATAACACCCTCTGTCTCTAACATTGTAAATGTCGTATTTTTAGGAGGTGGTTCTTATTGAAGCATCTAGGTTTTACAACAGCCTTCGCTGTGTAAGTCAGCATTTTATGTACTTGAAGGAGCTCTAGTTTAATTTGTTAAATGAACGGCCAGCCCAGCTCACTTGCTCCTAACGGACCATGACGCTTAATGCTCTGGTACTAACTCCACTTATGTAAAGTGCCACTTACTAATTAAAAAAAATCATTCACACTTTCACCACTTGTTACTAAACATCCACTGTGACTAATCTATTGCATAAAAATGTCTATTGTGCAGTTTTGTGAATGATAGATTTTAATACATTTGAGTAAACATTTGAGTAAAGAATCTGTTTTATTTATTTTTGTTACGAAAGATTCTCCTGCAATATAAATGCATATTCATAAACTTCTTGTCATTGCCTCGCCTAAGTTAACACAAAAAGAAGATTCTGCATTTATGTCTACCTTTTGTCTGTCTCCTCTGTCAGATATGATCCAGTTCTGATGGAGTCATCAGAGCTGTTGGAGACCAGGGCGCCCTCTGTGGCGCTGCAGCACGTCGAGCTGGATGTCTTGAGATTCCTGCAACCGTCTGGGGAGGACAACAGCACGGCAGAGCAATGCTTCCGCTCTCACTCTCGCAACAGCGTCCTCCAGGGCCTGCCATTTGGTGGGGTGCCCACGGTCCTCTTCATAAATGTGGTGCTTTGGATGGTACAGACTCGCACACATTCTCACCAAGAAGTCTGTTCACTCATCTATCCAATAGCAGCATGTCCTAGTTTTTTGAAAATGTGTGCTTTATTTAATATAACAAATGGAAACAAATTTAATTCTACAGATGACCTATTATTCTCCTGTAAACAGGTTAGGATAGAACTCCATAACTCTGACTATAGTAGAACAAGAACAAATGCTCTATTAAAAAATAGTGTAAAAAGATTTTGTTTCAAGTTTGCCAGAAAATATGGTGACAAAGCAAGCATGTGGGAAATTATTCTGCAGAAAGATTAGTGCAGAATTTATGCTCTTCTTTAGCAGAAGCAGTGAAGCTAGTCAAAGCTTAGGATGGATGGATCTAAATGCAGGACAATCCAGGAAGAAAGGGCTTTATAGGCTGCAAAAGAGGCTGTAGCAGAAATATATCTCCCACCACAGCAGGATAACAACCGTAAAGCTACAGGTAGATCTACAATAGAGTGGGTTTAAGTATGTTCATGTGCTAGAATGGCCCAGTCAAAGTCCAATTGAGGATTGTAGCAAAGCTATATGTCCAGACTCAACGACTTTGCAAAGACGAATGGGCCTCACGTTTATTTGAGTCTCTAGATATCCCAAACTGCAGAAACTGACCCCAAAAGATTAATTACAATTCTATGAAAAAAAGCTTTATCTTCAAAGTCTTGATTCAGAGGGACTGAATGTCAATGCATGTCTCACACATGAGAGGCATGCATTTACACTCTGTAACCATGCACCCGGGAGCCTTCCACCTTACAAATATGTCCTACTTTTTCGTGGAAATTTTGCATAAAATCCCCCAAAATACATTTTTAATGTGACATCATGTGAGAAAGTTTAGCTTTACAACAAAAGAGTTTCTAATTTAACCCAGCTGCACTCAATTTGATCTGAGATTATGGTCCCCATAATCATGTTCATAAACAGAAATGCAAATACATCACATTCTTGTCACACATGTCAAGTTAAATATACTTTTGAGAATGGAGTTTGTGCCTTATTTACAAACACGGCTGCTGTTTTTGTTGCAGTCTTCCAGATAATAATAGACTTTCACTTGGAGCTGTCAGCCAGCTCAGTTCCACTGTCAGGCCTCGTAAGTCTTGATCTCCGCTCTCGATCAGCAGCTTCCATATTTTAATTGGCTCATTTTGTGACTGCTGGGTTGTCAAGGCAACAGAGAGGGTTTGAACTCTGTCTCCTAATGACAGGCATGAGTCGGTGTGTTTCCCTCCAGGTGACAAGAGGATGCCCTGGCATTAATCCCATCATCGCACTGAATAAAATATGTGTGGTAGTTACAGAGGAGAACCACACGTCGAAACAGGAAAATGTTTAATGACAAGGGAGGAGAAACGTTTGCCCATCATTCATCCACGGGCCTCTGCCGTATTTTCACTGCTTAAAGATTGAATCATTCAACATTTATGGGCGCTTTTCTCCATTAACACAGCTGTCTAAATGGGCTCAGAAGAGGAGATGATTTAATGCTGCCATTACAATCAAAAGCTCATCAGCACTTTTACTCAATTTGCATTCAGCAACATTCATCCATGACCTTTCAGTTATGTCCGAGGATACCACTTAACTCCACTTTTCAACTGTACTGAGTGAATAGGTTTTGTTTTTTAAAACCTGCTTGAGACAAACTGCTTGACATCCATTTGAGGGCATACAGGTTTGTTTTTTTTTTGCAGCTGACTGCTCTGATCTGACATAGCTGCATGGCATGTGTTCATGCGTTCACGCTGACCCGGTTCTGATAGTTTCCAAGACAACCACACACGAGAAAGTACAGGGAAAAGGAGGACGGCTCTTTGTTGCTGCAACATGTCAAACGTTTGAATTTTCTGAATGTAAGACAGAGATTTTGGAGGCAGCTCCTTTATGGAGACACTTGAGCCAGAGCTTATAAGAACAGAGTGTTTGACTGAGGATATCAGATTTCCCAGAAGCTCTGAAATCATTTCCGTTTCTTGTGTTGCAGTTGTTATTGCTCATCTTTTCTTGTCTGAGGAAGGCTGCGTGGGACTACGGTCGTTTGGCTCTGGTTATGGAGAATGACAGGTAAATCCCTCATTCGCCGCCCTCATCAGAAAAATCTGATATACTTTACACCCTGTGAGGCTCGTTCAAATATTCAAGATGGGAGAAATCATGCTCAGTGGAACGGCTCCCTCTGCTGCCAGACAGAGATGGCACATGCAGTCCTTCACTTGACTGTAATTTTAGAATAAGGTGCTTTGGAGTTTTCCAGATATGGGGGTACTGAAGTAGTATCTTTTGTGTTTTGTCACTGGAAGTGGAAATTAAATGCATCATTATATTTTACTTATTCTCTTTTAATTGATATTAAACATGCCCAGGATTATGTTACCAGAATGAGGTGATCAACATATGCACAGTGTTCCCACTGTTCAGTCAGTATTTGGGGGATGATTTAAAGTTATGAAGTGAGTCTGCTCTGTGGGTTTTCTTGCTCATTCAGCACCCTATGTCGTGCCTCACCGGTGAACGCTTCACAGTTCAAGCAGGCAGGCAGCATCTGTGCATTTTGCCAAGCGGCCCTTCCTTAATGTAATTGAATCATGCTGCCTAATTTGACCTTCAGCTGAATAGTCAGTGGTGACGTCTAAGGATGGATATCCACTTACTTTGTCACATGCTTGTTTTTGATATCCTCCAGACTCCAAAGCCCACGGCACCTAATGTTTGTTTATTTGGGGCAATGACAGATCATAAGTGACAGTTAAAAATGTTATTTTGTTCCCTCTTGTCCCCCTTAGTCTTACATCCCTGTTTTATGGAGAACCGAGTGAAAAAGAAAAATCTCCCTCGGAGTCCAGCCCCTCCGACTCTGAGACAAAGGACATGGTGAGTTTTAGAGCCATTGACCATGATGAAGCCAAAACCAAATGACCCATTTTATTTGAGAAAACATAACCTCAGAAGTCACTTAATTAATTAAAGATTATTGGGAAGCTTTTTAATGGTAACAAGAGAGGCCATAATTACCATCTAAAACGTTATTGCTGGATGGCTAAATGAAGGCTTAATTTTGTTTGTAAGAAAAACAATATAAAACCAATATAAACACATATTTAGTTCAGCAGCACAACAAAAAGTGTGCGTGTTCATGTTTAAAATGTTTCTATTTTAAATTATTTTAATGGCAAAAACCCTAAACTTCAATGTTTTATGTGGATTTTATGAGAGACACCAACAGCAAGAAGTGCATCATTTTGAAGCAATAAGAACTTTAATGTTTTCCAAACTGTGTTGCTTTTTAAAATGAGAAAAACTCCATGATTACACATTGCAGTTTAATTAGAAAAGCGGGTCACATGGAACTTGTCTCCATCAGCTTTTCACATCTAGATTTCTTTCCACATTAACTTTTACGTCTTCCCAGAAATTCTCAAATGACATTTTCTCTAAACGTTTTCCATTCTAACACATGAATGTGCTTTGATCAGTGTATTGTAGCTCTGGTTGCATATTTTGGGCCGTTGTCTAGCTGGATTTTGTCTGCAGCACATCCCTGCATTTAGCACCGTTTATCTTACAAATCAAGCCCTATCGTCTTCCCAGTCACTGTTGAAGAAAAGCATCCTCGCAGCATTATGGTACCTCCACCATGTTTAACAGTGGGGATGATATCCTGAGGCTGATTTGTAGTGTTAGTTTTCACATACAGCATTTTGCATGTAGGTGAAAAGTTTAAGTTTGATCTTGTCTGACAGGAAGTGGTTCCACATTTGTGCTGGGTGCTGAAATGTATAAATCCTGGGATAACATTTTCAACCTGACCCAGCTTTAAACTTCTCCACAACTTTCTTTCTGTTCTGTCTGTTCCTTGATATTTATTATTCTATTTGTTCACCGTTGAACAAAAAGAATTGGTGCAATCTGGATTTTAAAAGCTTCCCTTTAGCAGGAAGAAACCTCCAGTAGAACCAGAACCTGGCACAATATGAGCAGCCATCTGCTACAACAAACTGGGAAGTCCAGAAAAAAAAAAGTTACTTCTTTCTTAAATATAAATTCTAGAGGTTTTAAATTGTTCAAATAAGCAATTTGAGCTTATTTTTTAATTAAACCTCTAGAACATTATTTTTTTATAAAACTTTATAACTTTATTTTTTTATTAAATAAAGTTCTAGAGGTTTAATTGCTCAAATAAGCTTCTAATTGCTTTTTACCCAGCATGCATAGTGTTTTAAAACATGGAACCACAATTCTGGACAGTTTCCATCTTTGAATCACTGCACATTTGACCATCTATTTAGTGTTTTAAAATTTTAATTGTACAAATGCAGGTTTAAAAGATATATGTTCTCGCTCGTCCATAAGCTTGTGTTAGTTGGCAGAAGGTCATGGACACCATCCAAGGACAAATTGAACCCTATCAGACAATCACGAGTGTGAAAGTATAGCAGCAAGTTTATGCTTATAAGGTAATAAAGGCCTGTTTTCCTACTGCACCACTATCTTTGAGTCAGTAAAACTATAATTAGGGTAAACAAATGTGATAGAATGAGGGGGAGACTGGTGGAGTCCAGCCATCATCACCCTGCACAATATTTTTAAGAAATACTATCATTACCAACACCAAAGATACTGCACAGACAACCAGTCTCACACAGGTTTATTTACAGTAAACCAATGTGTCACTGTTAATTTGCTGAATCTATTTTCAAGCCTAAAAGCTGCTGCATGCTGAGTTTTTCATAATGAAGCCCGGTTTGCCCAAGATGGCGTGGCCCCAACTGTTTGGATCATGACTCAGCCGAACTGTCTAGGACTCCCTGTGACACCTGTGTGACAGACTGAAGTCACTCCCTGCCTGTTTATAACACAGTAAGTCGAAGAATCAGACAGGAGTCAGAGGCCTCTGCCCACACAGAACCGAGGCGGCAGTAAACTGATTACAGCGCCAGCCTAGACCCATTAAATCTCCGTGTCACCCTGCAGACCTCATGCAAGAGTCCCCGCATGTTGCCACATGTAGCGAGTTGTTTATCATATGTTTTGTTATTCTCCTCTCATTCCAGGGCTTCTGCTCGTGGCTTTCATCTCTTTACCATATGAAGTAAGTTAAGACACAGAAGTTTGTTCTGAAATTATTTTCAAACCCCTGTAATCTCAGCTGATGTCACCATCCAACGTAAAGTCTAGGTTACAACTCTTTTAGCAGCTCAGCAACCCTGGCTGGGTTTATGTGGTTTTCTGCTGGATGTTTGCATTAATTCAAACCTGACTGCACATGGCTGTTTTAGCCTGTAAAATGTTTTTTTTAATAGTATCCATGGTTTCCATAGTATTGTGGTGGCATTTGGGTGCTGCTGTTTTTAGCTCACATGTCAACGGCTCACCCAGGGATCTCCAGGGAAAAGCAAACCCACCCTGAAAGCTCACAATGTGTGGGCTACATTCACACCAAAAGCACACTGCTTACCTCTTCGTCCTGAGCTTCCTGCCCAGGAATTTCTATGTTTTAGCTTTAATATATCGACCAATGTTTTATTGACTTTGAAGCTGCAGATTTCATGTTTATCAAGTACTAAACTTAGTTAAACTTTTGTTTTTGTCCTGAGAGCCAAAATAGTCAAATAAAAAGCACTTGCAGGCTCCTTTTTTTTTCTTATTAAATATAAAACATTTATTGTATCTGCTCAAATAATGAGACTACAACATCCAAAATTTTATTGAAGCAAACAAAATAGCTAGATTTTTTTAAAAATGCGAACCGTAAAACAGGTTGTTTTTTGATTATGTTTATTTTTATGTTTTTAATGCAACTTGATTGTTTTCTCACACCAAGTCTGAGTGTAGAGTTGTTAGATGTTTGTGGTCTTATTATACCAAATTACTACAAATGCAAATACCTGGATCATGACGAAGAAACCTTTTTAGTTTATTTGTAATGTGTAAATCTTAAAGAAATAAAACAAATATTATTCACCTGTGTTTAAAGGTCAGATTTGCCTGTCTGACCAAATTATTTAGATTGAGCTGAAAAGCAATCCTTTACTCATTTGTTAAACCTGGTCGGTAAACTAATCTTGTTTTTTTGTTTGTTTTTTGTTTGTTTTTTATTGTTAAAACATAAATTTGGCCGTGTGAGAACTTCATCTTTATTAACTCAGAAACAGTTTCAAGAACTTGTTTCTTTCAGTTCTGAAGAGTCTACATATTGGATAGGAGTTTTATCCATATGTTCTATGTGTGCAGGGATGAGGAGATCCGCAGTAAATGCGGCATTGACGCAGTCACATACCTGTCCTTCCAGCGCCACATAATGCTGCTCATGACGGTGGTTTCCCTGCTCTCCTTGGCTGTAATCCTGCCGGTCAACTTCTCCGGAAACCTCCAGGGTACGATGGGCTTTTGGGCAATTATGCAAGGAATGCTGTACATCACCCTAAACGCACCATTCCCACCATAAAACATTGACGAAGCAGCTGTGGGAAATTCTTCCACAGCTGGTCAGTTAATGGGAAGGTGGATGAAGTTAAATGCAGGGCAATGCTAGAGGAAAACCTGGGAGAGGATGAAAAAAGACTTGAGACTAAGGGTGGAGGGACTACTTTTTAACTGCAAAAGAACTAAATTTATCGCTAGAGCAGCAAAGGGCAGATTCTCATTAAAGTTCATCTATGCATTAGAATGACCTAGTCAAAGGTCAAACCTAAATTCAACTTTGTTTGGCAAAATTGTTGCTGAAAGGTTCTCTCCATTTGACAGAGAGAACCTTATCTTTTTATTTGCATAAATTTGAGTTTCTACATGTGACTTCTCCTAAAACATAATTGCAGTGACATGGCTGACTCATCACAAGATTGAAGAGAAATGCAGGTCACACATCTCAGATTTTTATTTGTAAAATTTGATAACCATGTATATACTTCCTTCCTCTTCAGAATTGGGAGCTATTTTGTGTCTTATCATATAAAAGCCCAGTAAAATACACGTAAGCTTGTGGTTGCAGCAGGACAAAATGCGGAAAAGTTAAAGTGAGAATTAAAACTTAAAATAAAGATCCTGCTTTATATATAATTTAAGGTCTTTGACATACTGGTGAGAAGGTAACCCAGGCTAGAATAGAAACGGCTTCATTTCCTACTGGTCCACACAGGCAGGTGTTAGGAGAGGGCTGAAGCGTATAACCAGCTGCTAAATAGCAACAGAAATCCTTTCTGGCAGCTGTGTGTTTATTTTGTAGGAAGCACAACAGGATGAAGGCAGGGACCTTTTATGGGTTCTGCGGGGAACTGAGCTGGTTTCTACTAGCTGTCATCTTATGGACTGATGCGTCACCCTCTGTAAAATAAACTAACACAGGCTGCCATAGCAATTGCAAACAAAGGCTGACCCAAATTAAACCAGACATGGCTGACGTGAGGACATTGTGTAAAATTCGAATAGCTGAACATGAGTTTGCTTTAATTGCGCCTCACCCTCTAGACAAGAGTGGTGGGACTTTCCTTTTAAGATATGACAAAATTTAAATGTTTGTCATGTGGCATTATTTCTACAGGAGACAGTCCCAAAGACTTTGGAAGAACAACACTTGCTAATGTTAGTGCAAAGTAAGTGAGAGACAAAATGGATGACATCACACCTCATGAAACAAACCAGAGGTATTAAAAAAGTGTCTGTAACTGTTGTGTTATTTGTGTGCTTCAAAGGGACAGCTTTCTTTGGCTACACAGCGTCTTTGCTCTGGTGTACTTTATCATCACTCTGCTGTCCATGGCTCACCATTCTGCAAGGCTGGAGCACAGAGATGACGAAAAGGTCTGTCAGCATCACATCACATCGATCCCTACAAGAAAAACACTTCCCCTCTGTGCCGCCTTTTGTATTTTACATTTACCTAAATGGAAAACATAGCCTTAGCTTGCTTTCAATGTAATCCGAGATATTAACTTATGTTATGTACCAGCAACCTTCATAAAACATTTAGTTTTATATTGTTTTAAATTAGCCTAAAGTAGTTATTATGTATATTTCTCAGGATATATTTGGAATCAACATAAAATGCACACTCAAATTAGAGATGACGAGAACAATGTTTTTTCGGTGTCAAGAAAAAAACTAAATCAAGGCCCAAAACAGCTCATTGTGAAATGAGATCAAAATTAGCAGAACTGACCAGACTAAAATCTTATTATCTCGGAATGATTTTGTTCAAACTTATTCATTCAAGCAGAATAGGTCACCTTTAAGCTCTGAGAAAACTACAGAGGAGGTGGGATCTAACTCCAACATAGGCCTGCTTCATAGATTTCTAAACCCTTTCAGAGCCAGAGTCTCCTGTTTATTTTGTAGATTACTCCATGGAGTTCTTGTTGGTGAGGAGTGCATATTGTACTTATCTACTCTTTTTAAGAAGATGTTTCTGTCTTTTCCTTTTGATAGGAAGATTACATTTCTGTCCCTGCTGAGTATTTATGATGGCTAAGTTTTTGTTCAGAGGCAGCCTTTGTTTGGTTTAATGGTTTCATTTCGTTTCATGAATATTGTTTTAACTGATTTTACTCTATTTTGAGGAGTAAGGGTGTTAACATGTTTCTCATTTCAAGAAGCTGAAGTCATTATTTTTATTACTAAACTCTTATTTTTACTACATTCCTTCTGCCTTTTTATTCTTCCCAAAACATTGTTTATTGTTACAATCCCTCATCTGCTGGACAGCATCTGGAGATGTAACAAATGGGGGCTTGTCCAGGATCTTTTGAATGAAAAGTGCTTTTAGAACCACTCGTGGTGGGATGAGTAATCCAGTTTGCCTTGTGTCCTTCTTTGTTTTCTGAGGTAAGGTGGCTGTTGGTGTGGTTGGATAGAGGGGGCTCACTGGATCCAACAGTCCTATGTTCTGATTGGTCAGTGTGGTCTCTTTTCTTTTTTAAATTTTGACTGACACATCATAATGAGCGTTAGTTATTGTGGCTCTGTAAAACCATTGTTTTCTGGCTCAAGTAAACAAGGTATTATTGACCAGAATGAGTTTGTGGTAAGCTGGATGAATGCAGGACAACTGATTTGAACGTGAACTATTGTTGCTGGATATTTGTTGTCACAATCGGTCTTTATTTATCTTGAAGTTGAGAAAAGATCTTGGGTTAATGCAGAGGATGGCGATCCCTCTGTGCCTGCCATGGCAAAGGCACATGAACCTGTGGTTGAGAGTAAAACTCCTGCCAGGAGTGTGAATGAGGAGGGTTAACCGGTCACTCTGTCACGTTACGATCCGTTCTCTGTGGAGTCATCAGTGGGTTCCCGGTTAAATGCACAGTTAAAGCTAAGGTTGGGCCGATTTCACTTGGAGAAAGAAGAAAGAGAGCAGGAGTTCCAGTTTTGAAGAAAGTTGGAGTTGAAGCGGCTTGAAGCCAAAACAACTATAAAACTTCGTGAACTAGAACTAAGAAAATCCTCAGTTTCTCTTCCTTTAATGAAGGTTTGGCACCCTTAGAGGGAATGTTTTACGTCAGTAAACACATCTTGTTAGTTCCAGTGTTCCGTGAGATGGAAGTTGAAAGTTATTTTGGAGTTTTTGAATGAATTGGAATGGCATTAAACTACCCACAGGATGTGAGGGCTGTACTTCGATCTAAACACGGGGTGTCACATTCATTTTCATTTCCACATCCATGATCCATTTTAAGGATCATGGATGTCCTTAAATGCGTTCTTCCACTTGTGTGGATAAAACTATTTAGCAAACTGTTAAAATATTTTGGCTTTCTCTGCAATTCAATGAGTACATCCTAAAAATAAATAATTAAAATATATTTACATTCATTTGATTAGTATGCAAATAAAAACATTGGATTTTTTGTAAAATAATATTTAATATTTAAGCACATACCTGCTGTCTTGAAGTTCTATTTATGTGGCCAGATTTGACCCGTGGGTCTTGAGTTTAACACATGTTCTAAATCAACAGGCTCAATAAACTTGTGCTGTATCATTTGCTAAGGATAGTTTGTCGCACAGCAAAATGAAAGTTGCCATTTTGAGAGTGTGTGAGTTGGTGCCAGAGGCTTTCAGGAAGCATTTTCACGAAAGCTTTTCTACTTGTCATGTCAAGTGAAAGATGTTGATTCTCTCCAGGAGATGATGTTCAGATAGACTGATCAAATAGTGGTTTATTTAAAGGAGCAAAACGTAACCACTTTAAAAGAAGCAGTGATTCTTGCAGGTGAGTTTTCCTTCACTCCTCAAATCACCCTCAGTAGCTTTGATTTCATCTAGATAAAGCTAGATGATTGATTGTTTCTAATGGTTCTGTTTTCTTCTGTTTTCCCTTTGACAAAGTCTGAGTATAAATGTTTCTTCTGTCTTAGAGCAGATAATATTACAGCTGATTGTGATGCATATAAAAGTAAACAGCTAAGATCCTGCTGTGGAAGCATGGAGCAGGAAGCAGGATCTGACAAGCTCATTATCACACACTCCACCTTGTTCTCTACACGGCATCAGAGAGAGCTTGAGGAAAATTCAAGATCATCTCTAAACAACAAGACCAGCATGAAGCAGAACAAGACCAGGCAAAATGACAATGACCCAAAATCCACCCACAACTGATTGTTGTAATAATAACAATAATGATAAAGATCAATCAAAACCCAGATCTTGCACCCACTGAGATGAGGAGGAGTTACTTCAACTTGGCAAGAAAATCTCTCAAGTTCAAGTTTATTTGTGCAGAAACTGTACACCATTAAAACATAATATAGACACCAAGGGGAAAACAAGCAACAAACACTGCATTTGATCAAAATCATCAATACCCATAAAATATGTTCATAAATTTTCCACTGACTCTAAACAGGTGATGTTCTAGCCTTGATTTAAAGAAACTTGGTGTTTCAGCAGCTTTGCAGTTTTCTGGCAGTTTGTTCCAGATTTGTGGTACGTAGAGGCTGAATGTTTAGTTCTGGTTCTGGGCATGCGTAGCAGAATAGAACCAGAAGACCGGAGAGGTCTGGAAGGTTGATATGACGACGACGTCTTGAATGTATTTTGGTGCTGTGTTGTTTAGTAATTTATAAATTAGCAAAAGTATTTTAAAGTCTATTCTCTGAGCTACAGGGAAGCAGTGTAAGAACTTTAGAACCTCAGGCATTTCACAGCTTAAACAGTCTTGAGTTGGTAGCAGAAAGAGTAACTTTTCCTCAGATACAATTATTTTCAAAGACTGTCATTAACTAAACAGTTAATGAAGGAAGGTCAACAAAATATTTGAATTTCAATTAGGAAAGAATATATAAGTTTCTGAATGCTATTTGGCATCACAGCTTTATTTTTATAGTTTTCTTTAAATCTAAAAATGTACACTCTTAGATAATTTATGTATGGCAGCATTTTAATTCTCTGTACCAAATATAATTTTTATGGTACATTTACACCAAAATGGTAAAACTGGGTGTGTGTTTCATGTTGCAGGGTTCCAGGACGCTGATGATCACCTCCATTCCCAGAGAGATCTCAGACCCAGGACTCATCACCAAGCACTTTCAGTACTCATTTTTTTCCCTCTAGTTTCTTGTTAGGTCAACTTAAATCCTTTATTATTTTCATCAGTTAGCTCTCCAAGAGGAATAATCGATTTTAAACCTTCACCCACCAGCGAGGCCTACCCCAGCTGCACAGTCACCGACATCCGCTTCTGCTTTGATGTTCACAAACTGATGAAGCTGGACTTAGAAAGGTACAGTCAACTTTCCTTGACTCAGATGGTATCTCTTGAAAGTGGAGTGACATGTTCTGTGTCCTGCAGGCGCAAAGCAATGAAAGGCAGGCTGTATTTTGCAACGAAGGCCCAAAAAGATGGGAAGGTCATGATCACGACCCATCCTTGTGCTCAGATATTCTGTTGCGACATATGTGGTTTTGAAAAGGTAAGTTGGATGAGCATTAATTGTACTGTCTCCATTGCATAGGAAGAGTTTTACCACTGGATGGCACTGCAATGCAAAAGTATAAGCCTTAGAATTGCTAAATGTGGTAAAAAGCTTTCTGAAGTTTGCAGTATTATTTTCTGCAGGTGGATGCAGAACAGTACTACAGCGAATTAGAGGAGAAGTGCACAGATGAGTTTAATGCGGAGAAGCAGCGGATCACCATGAAGAGGCTGGGCATCGCCTTTGTGACTCTCAGAGACGAGAGGATGACGGCTGTGTGAGTAATCAGCAGGATGACCCACAGCTCCTCTCATCAGCGGGGAAGGATTGCCATGTTCAGGCTCTCCTTACTGTTGTTGTAAATCATGAAGTCTTCATTTGTTTTCCAGCATTGTGAAGGACTACAGTTGCGTGCGTTGCCGCAGCAGACCCCAGCAGTCCAGCATCACTACTGTGGTGCAGTCACAGAGGTGGGGTGTCAGCTACGCACCTGCTCCAAGTGACATCATCTGGTTTGTAGCAGAAATACAAAACACAGTTTTTCACAAAGCCTCAAGTTGCAACCACAAACTACTTGTATTCTATGGAGATTTTATGTGACAACCCAACAAAACTTTTCCTTGAAGTTTTCATGTAAAATCTTCAATCAGAGGAAGTTTTTTATAAAACCTTGAGTTTTTTGTGTAAAAGAAAACTTGTATAACTTCCACTGTTGTTGTTTTTTTTTTTTTTTTTGGTAGTGTCCACCTGTGTGTGTAGCTCAATCTTGGTATAAATGCAGCTCTTCAGAAAATAGTTCAGATGTGTTTTAATTAAGAAACGGCTCACGAGAATAAAAGAACACCACAGACAAATCACAGAGAAAGCTGTGTAGAAAATTAAAGCAGAGTTGGGTTATAAAACTAAATCCGAAGCTTTAAACATCTGTTAGAGAACACTGTTCAACCCATTATTTGAAAATTGCAGCCTTACCACATGGATATCCATCTAAAATGGCTAAATTGAGCAGTAAATAGAGAAATAACCAAGAATGCTTCAGTGATCCACATCTTGGGTGGAATAATCTCCTGACAACTCTATAAAACTGACTTTAAATTTAAAAGCCACAGTAGAAAGAACACTATAAGAAATCCCACTTAAGGTTTTATTCCACAACAAATATGTGGGAGAAAGTGCTCTGGAACTAAATTGAAACTTTGTAGACTACATGCAAAGTCATACGTGTAGCAGAAAACAAAGTCAGCACCTCAACTTGAACACACTATTTATATCATACAAGATGTTGGTGGCAACATCATGTAGAAATAGGCTAGGCCACTTGGTCAGGATGATTCAGTAGATGGAGGGAGCTAAATGAAGGGCCTTGAGACTGGGTTGGAGGTTCACTTTCCACAAGGACAACTTGAAATATTCAAATTCAATCCACCTGACTGTGATCTCCAGTATTTTCTGAAAATTGCTATCGTTACATAGTTGATACAGTCCCACAAAAAAGATTTGCAGCTCTGAAGGCAGCAAAAACTTTTTTTAAAGTGGCTGAATATAAATGCACACCCCATTTTTTGTAATTTGAAAAATGTCCATCATATTACTTCCATTTTACAATTGTGCACAAATTCATGCCCTTTTATGACAGGGGTCACTCTGTGTGGCTTTGTCACTGTTGCTCTTACAAAAGTAAAAGGAAATGTTTATGATTATAAACACAATAAGAAATTGTTATTTTAGTAAATTATTATGCAAAATCTGCTTTTAAAATCAAACTATGCTACCTATCTTTCTTCTCCCATATTTATATAGATGTCTCACCTCATTCTACATTTTCTCTTTTGTAATAGTTGCTTCATTTTGTTCTAAATTTGAAAATAGAAATAAATGTATGTTACATTTTGATTTCATAATAAAACATTTTGCACATAGAAAATCAGTTTTAGGCAAGTTTTATCTTCTAGCAGCAGGGGCAGTCATGGCTTTTTTTATTGGAAAACATGGATGGTCTGTGACATAAAATCCTATTCAAATGCACTGACATTTTTGATTTTGTTACGTCCGATAAAACGCAAACCAAAAAGGTAAACTGGAGGTGAAAAAGGTTTAATTTCAGCTCTTGGTAAAACACAAATCCACCAGCATCCCACATCAATATTAAGATAATCTGCATCACAAAGATTTACAGATCACACTTTATCCTTATATCTGCCTGCATCTGTTCTCTGTAACCTTTTTATTGTGTTCCAACGCTCGGCGCATGGCACTGTAGTCGCCATGCACCGTTTTTTTATACGGTTCGTACTAGGACAGTACGAACCATATAAACCCTTCACGACATAAACTCAGCAGATGTAATAATCCAACCTGCATGTCTTCTCACTGTGGGAAGAAACTGGAGCATTCAAAGGAAAACCACAACAACACAGTTCTTAAGTCTAACACCTAATTTTCAGTGTCTCTCTCACGCAATTTGGAGACTTTACCCCATAATCAGGCCTGACATTTTTGGCATATTTGGGACTCTGGGAAAGAAAAGTGAATCATCTGAAATGCGATCACCTCTGCTGCCAGTCTTTGGATTTGGAAAACTCTTTTTAGATGCACAGTCATGAAGATGATCTAAGGAGGTGGTAAATATAATGTCTGTGAATGTGACAGGACCAATGCTGAGCTGTGATTACAAAACATCTTTGAAATTAAGCTGGTTAACAGAGTCGCCATTTCTCCTCTTTCTCTCAGACTAAATCTCTACATCTTTACTTCTCCAGGGAAAACCTGGCTGTCTGCGGCTCTCGCTGGTGGCTGCGATGCGTCCTCCTCAACATCCTCCTCTTCCTGCTGCTCTTCTTCTTCACCACTCCTGCCATCATCGTAAACACCATGGACAAGTTCAACGTCACGCGGCCCGTGGAAAGTTTGAGGGTCTGTGTTTTAAAGTACTTCAGAGCTCCGTTTCAGACTTTGTGGATCATGTTGAATAACCATGCTTGTCTCCTTCACAGAGCCCAATCATCACCCAGTTCTTTCCAACCTTCCTGCTCTGGGTCTTCTCAGTACTCCTGCCTTTCATCGTCTATTACTCTGCCTTCTTCGAGTCCCACTGGACCAGGTACTCATCCTGCTCTCAACTTTCTTTTTCTCCTCTTCTAAATTGGACTTTCTGCTCCTTGTCTTCTTCCAATAGGCCCTTCATCTGTATCTGCTTGTTCTTTCAACTCCTTTCATTTATTATTCATCTTTTTTACCCTCTTGGTTTTTTATTCTACTCTCTCCCTCCTTTTCACTGTCACTCTGCCTGCACTGTTATTCTGGGCAGGTTGTCATAGAGATCTTCAAGAGAGAATGATGAGATGCACTGTAGTCGCCATGCGCCATTTTTTTTCTTTATTTTTTCCGTGCACGGGGACTCGTTGAAAGAGGAGCAGAACGACCGCGTGTCGGGAGAAAACCTTCATGCTGCATCTATGAGCACCATTTCTTTACATAACCGCCCACACAAACGTTTGTGTGCAGGCGTGATATGTGAAGGAGCGAATGCAAATCAACTGTTCACTGGAGGGGAAAATGCAGAATGAATCTAACAGAATTATAACATGTAGACCGAGATGAATATACGTTTCTAAACGTATTCATCATTTATGCTTTTAATTTTTTATTTTTGACTCATTGTACACTAATGTAATGTCTCAGATCGGTTGAGAACCAAGTGACGATGCACAAGTGTTTTTTTCTGCTGGTCTTCATGGTGATCATCCTCCCCTCTCTTGGTCTATCCAGGTAAAATTCCAACAAAAAGCACAAATGTATAATTATTATTATTTTTTTTTTTTCCAAGAAATTTTTCACTATATCACGTGTTTTCATGTCTGCTTATGTCCTGAATTTGTACATTTCTTGCAGTCTTGACCTCTTCTTCACTTGGCTGTTTGATATCAACTTTCTGGATGAGAAAGAAATCAAATTCCAGTAAGGCTGCTGTTTTTAATTCAAATTTAAAGAATAAACTGACATCCATTGAAAAAGTATTAACGTTCACTGAACATTTTTACATTTTATCACATTGCATCCATAAACCTGAGAGTACATTTATGAAATTTTGCCTGACTGGCACAAGGTAGTGGAAAATAGTGAAACGGAGGGTAAAGATTATTGGTTTTCAACATTAGGGAATGCATTCATAATCAGTTTCCTGAGTCGATACTTTGTAAAGTCATCATTACCTTTGAATGTTTTGGAGTATGATTATGTCAGCTTTACACATTTAAAGTTGATAGTTCCTTCTTTCCTTCTTTTTTTTTTTTCTCAAAATGGCTCATATCAGGTTGAGCTATCAGTGCGATTGAATGGACAGATTCTCTGAGCATCAATTTTTAATCCCAGCCATAAATGCTTGATTCAATTTAGCTGTGAACTTTAACTTGGCCATTTTAAAACATGAATATGCTTTTATCTGAATCATCCCAGTGCAGCTCTGGTTGTATGGTTACGGCTGATGGCATGCTAGAAGGTGCAGAGACCCCGGAAATATTTAGACCCCTACTCCTCCCTATTTATTTTATTATCACACACTCCCTTGATGGTTTATCACATAAACACTCAATAAAACCAGTGTGATGTAAGGTGGAAATGTTTTGGTGGTATGAATACTTTAATAAGGCTTTGTCTTAAAACAGCATTTATCTGTTTTTTTGTTTTATTTTTTTTTTCTTACATATAAATATATAGGTGTGTGTTTCTTCCTGACAATGGTGCATTCTTTGTAAATTATGTCATCACATCGAGTCTTGTCGGAACATCTATGGAGTTGCTTCGAATCCCGGCGCTCACAGTGTATGCACTGCGCCTCTGCTTTGCCAAATCCCAGGCTGAGCGGATACACCTGAAGAGGGTTAGCATACGTTTTTCTTTAATTTTAGTGTGAACTTTTGTTTGTAAAGATATCAAATAAAATCTACTGAGTTCAACTTTTTTATATTTGCAGAGTCAAGCATACGAGTTCCAGTTTGGCCTGGAGTATGCCTGGACCATGTGTATCTTTGCTGTCAGCATGACCTACAGCATCACGTGTCCCATCATTACGCCCTTTGGTGAGTGACATGCAATTACCCTCTTGTATCATCATCTAACCCTCTTTTCTCAGCAGTTTCAGTTCCTCCATCCTCCCTCTTAGTCAGTGTGTATATGCAGGCCTCCCCTAACACACACTGTGTGAATATGCTGCTGTAGTCCCAGACACTCAGACACAGTGAGCTGCAAGCCAGACGCCCACTACACTCCTGTGTCAGCCCAGAACTCACCAAGCCTCTATTTACTTCTGCTGTCCGATCCAGCTACTTTTTTAGACTAAACTTTGCTTTTGCAGAAGCTATACATGCCGTTTTACAAAAACTTTTAAATGCACAGACCAAGCAGTTGTGCAGAAATATTGGTTTTCCAGGAACCAGACATTTTGGGCTACCTTTTGCTCTGGTCTTGGCTTTCTAGATGTCTTTCGAAGCTCATCTGGAAAACTCAATTGTTTAATGAGCCATTTAACACAGAAATGTGAAAAACCTAGCGTTAGAAATATGCTTTTTTCCTAATTGTGGTTATTAACTGCTTTTGATGCCATGATCTTTAACAGTTTTTGTGTAGTTGGTTTTGCTTTTCCTCAGTTTGTGCACCTGTGGATATGTAGTGTCAGCTGTGGATTCAGAATGTATATTCAGTTGATGTTGAAAGTATATTGTAACAAACTGTTCAAACTAATTTACTTTCTTATTTCAGAAACATTCAAGTTCAATGTGCATGTTTATTTCTTCATGCAGGCCTTTTTTTTTACTTTGATCTCATAAATTAATGTAAATCTTGTAAAATTTTAGTTAACTGTTCATGTCCTTCCACCAACAAGACGGAAGGACAACATCCACTTTGTTTTTTACAAAATTAGATAACTTGGTGTAATTCCACTTCACTCGTCCTTCCAGGTCTGCTCTATGTGATTTTGAAGCACATGGTCGATCGATACAACATCTACTACGCTTACGTTCCCACCAAGCTCAACCAGAAGATCCACAGAGCGGCGACCAGCCAGGTCATCGTGGCTCCAATCCTCGGCATGTTCTGGCTGCTCTTCTTCTCCGTGCTCAGATTAGGTGCTTTCTTTTTTACGTTCAACCTTCTCTATCAAATAATTGTTAAGGTACGTTGAAGTAATTCCTGTTTTTGTTCTGGACTTTCACAGGTCTAATACATCCCATCGCCTTGTTTACATTAGCATCGCTCATCTGCTGTATTGCCTGCTGTCTTTTCCGTCTATGGCTTCGGAAAACTCCAGACAAGTCAACAAGCTACCAGGTCTGCCTTGATTTAGTGGCTGCTATGTACTTCAGCATAAAAAGCATTTTTGAGCCCTTTATCATTTTTTTTTTTTTCAGATGTCTGATCAGCCAGCTGCAGAGACGTTCCCTGATGCAGACCGGAGCACAGTGACGTCAACCACCACCTCCAGTGTAAAGCACTTCATTTGTTTTTAATGTTACATGACATGTGATATTTTAAAAATAATTATGAACAGATGTTAGACATTAGATGTCAACACCGTGCAAAAAATAATCATGGACCATAAACATTTTCACAATTTATTACAACAAACATCAACTTGTAAAGGTGTTTAATGGCATTAGTGGCACAAATATGGCACAGTTGTAAAGTTTTAACTTTTTTTAACAGCTAAAAGTGTGTATATTTGACCCCTGGTACTTAATTTGTAGAACCACGTTTTACTACAACTATATCTGCCATTCCGCTTTGTAAAATCAATTTTATGAGACTGTGAACATTTTCAACTTTAACCATGTGTTAATTTTGTGTGGTAAAAATGTAGATGCACTGCACATGAAATGAAGACTAAGATCAGGGTGTGAAAACTTTTGAATCACCAATGAATTTGTGCACATATTCATAAGTTTGTGTTTTTTTTTTTTTTTTTTTTTAATCCCTCAGCTGTTTGTTGCATCTGTGTTGCTGGAGCCAGAGCTGGCTTTAACTCCGATGCCTTCTCCGGCTCACCACGGCTACGGCGCCATGGCCAGTTCCCAGAGTTCAGGTCACGGACCGGTGGCAGGAGCAGAGGCCGAAGAGGAGCACACCCAAAATCATGAGACTGAGCTCAGAGAACCTGCAGATCTCTATTCCTCCAGTCCGCTCATGGACAGCCCCACAGGCTACCAGTGACTGCAGCTCCCACCAAACTAATTCCCATGTGTCCTGTAGTGGTGGAGCGCAGATTATTCAACACTGCATCTTCACCACTGACCTCGGACTCTAATTTAACCGCGTCAGACACTGAGTCGAGATAGATCTTATTTGAGGGCATGAAGAATCCAAAACAAAAGCAGAATTATTTAAACGGAGCATTCAAAAAGAAACCAGCTAGCCAAAACTTTGTCCACACCTGCTTTGTACACATGTTAAGATCAAGCTAATGTACAAATAACTTAAAAAAAAAAAAACTTGATTCCGTCTACTACGGTTTCATTTGCAAGTTAAAAAGGTTGAAAGAAGCAGGCTTGGAGATAATATCAGACAGACACGCTCCATGCTGTGCAACTGGAACGCGAGTGGTGTCGAAAGTTCCCACCGCAGTGGGTGGTGTGAGCAGGCTTGCCCCGGCAGACTGACAGAGCGGTCCGGCCATGGGTGATATGTGCTTCCTCTGTGAGGCTGAGGGTGAGGGCAGCGAGTTGTGAAGCCATCTGGCGTGAGAACACAGACAGACGGAGGGCAGAGTGGCGCTCTCAGATGGACTGTAGTATATGTACAGTCTCGCCATACAGGCAGAAACAGCCTAAGGCTTATTGTAATTTATCTCAACATGAGGTCGCTATTTTTGCTACGGTATTTTGGTGCTGTTCATGTAAAAGCTTTATCTTGAAAGGTGGTGGGTACCTGGCTTTCCCTTCTTAATTAAAAAACATACTTCTTCTGTTTAAACTGTGTACCTGCTCTAGTAGTTTTTTATACTTTCACTTTCTTGCAGAGAGTTTGGGGATCAAATTTTCTCAATTAATTTGAACATTATTTGCTAAAACTTTATTTACCATAAAACTGACATTAGGCAGTTATAAACATGAATGGCTCTTTATAAATGTTTATGTAAATAAATAATGACACTTTTCATGCAAAGCTCTGTTAAAACTTGCATTAAAAGTCATTTAAAAGTGTCCTTATTTACCGAATAACACTTATGACTTAAACATTTATGAAGAGTCATTCATGTTCTTGACAGGTGTTATATCATGTTTGACAGTCTTGTGTCAGTCTTAGCGACACCTTTTACAGTAAAGTGTTATTGTTAATATTTCGGTAACACTAGTATATTGATACATTATACAAAAACTTTTACATTTCAAGTGTTTAAGTTAATTTGATGAGTAAAATTGTAATATTTAAGACATTGTGGAGTGATTCATAAAGTACAAACTTTATGAGCTGCAGATTTCAATCAATGTCGTTTGTCCAGGGTTTTTGCTTGTGACAGTTCATCCTTCCACAACACTTTCCACTGATTTTTTTTTGTTTGTTTTTCACCCTATGTGAATTTGTTTATGTATGTAGAATGAATGAGTTTTACTTTTTGGTACCAATAACTAAAAGCTAAAATTTTCAATGTTCTAATTGAAAGGGATGCACCTGACATTTAAAGGGATAAATACAAATTGCATTTGGGTGAGCTTAATCCAGATGTTTATTTAGTTATATATTTTTATTGCCACTTGCATTGCATTAATTCATCATGAGTGATGAAAGGTGGTTTAGTATATTTTACGTGGCCTTGTATGATAGACAATCAAGACAACTAGACCAGCTCTTATCCACAAAAGAGCTGATGTTCTACACAAGACTATTTTCTGGAGGCAAAATGAGCAAAATACAGCTGCTTCTGCATTTGTCGTCACCCCAGGAAAAGAAAACCTTTCACTGACGTCAAACACTGAAAAAGTTTGAAAAGTTGTATTTTTAGTTTGCGTACACTTTGTCTGGTGAAAAAGTTAAGTTTTTTTTTTCTTAATTTTTTTGTAAACATCAGTAATATCCCAACTTATCTCCCCTAAAAATTCATCTAAAATAAATTAAACTGAAGCATTTTATTATTCTGAGGATTTTGTATCACCATGCACATCAAGAATTGCATCCAAAACTTGTTTGCAAGGCATTCCAGGAAAAAAAAAAGTAATTCTATCATCACAAACACAAATGTGTGAAGTTTTCAAAATAATCAGTTATAAATAAATGTACTTATTTTTATTATATATATATATATATATATATATTAAAAAATTCCCTTCTCACCCACCGCGGGTGGTTCTTATCCTCTGAGCTCGGGTCCTCTACCAGAGGCCTGGGAGCTTGAGGGTTCTGCGCAGTATCTTGGCTGTGCCAAGGACTGCACATTTCTGGACTGAGATGTCTGATGTTGTTCCTGGGATCTGTTGTAGCCACTGCTCCAGTTTGGGGGTTACTGCCCCGAGGGCCCCGATGACCACAGGCACCACTGTGGTCTTCACCTTCCAGGCCCTCTCCAGTTCTTCCCTGAGGCCCTGGTATTTCTCCAGTTTCTCGTGCTCCTTTTTCCTGATGTTGCAATCACTTGGTATTGCTACATCTACCACAACGGCTTTCCTCTGATGTTTATCCACTACGACAATGTCTGGTTGGTTCACCATTACCATTTTGTCTGTCTGGATCTGGAAGTCCCACAGGATCTTAGCTCTGGCGTTCTCCACCACATTTGGGGGTGTTTCCCACTTTGATCTTGGGGTTTCCAGTCCATATTCTGCACAGATGTTTCTGTACACTATGCCTGCCACTTGGTTATGTCGCTCCATGTACGCTTTCCCTGCCAGTATCTTGCACCCTGCTGTGATGTGCTGGACTGTCTCAGGGGCCTCCTTGCACAACCTACACCTTGGGTCTTGTCTGGTGTGGTAGATCTGGGCCTCTATTGCTCTGGTGTTTAGGGCCTGTTCCTGGGCTGCCAGGATGAGGGCCTCTGTGCTGTCCTTGAGTCCAGCTTTTTCCAGCCATTGGTAGGATTTACTGATATCAGCCACTTGGGTTATTTGCTGGTGGTACATCCCATGTAGGGGCTTGTCCTCCCATGATGGTATCTCTGGCACCTCAACCTCCGTTCCCTGTTGTCTGAGACATTCACTGAGCACATTGTCTGTTGAGGCTTTGTCCCTGATGTATTATGGATCTTAGTTGTTTCGTCCTGGACAGTGGTTCTCACACTCACTAGTCCTCTGCCTCCTTCCTTGCGGCTCGTGTACAGTCTCAGGGTGCTGGATTTGGGATGGAACCCTCCATGCATTGTTAGTAGCTTTCTGGTCTTAATATCTGTGGCTTTTATCTCCTCCTTTGGCCAGCTAATTATTCCAGCAGGGTATCTGATTACTGGCAAGGCATAGCTGTTTATCGCACGGATTTTGTTCTTGCCATTGAGTTGGCTTCTCAGGACTTGCCTCATTCGTTGGAGGTATTTAGCTGTGGCTCCTTTCCTTGTGACCTCATCGAGGTTGCCATTTGCTTGTGGTATACCTAGGTACTTGTAACTGTCCTCTATGTCTGCTATTGTTCCTTCTGGGAGTGAGACCCCTTCTGTGTGGATGACCTTCCCCCTCTTTGTGACCAGCCGACCACATTTCTCTAGTCCGAATGACATCCCAATGTCAGTGCTGTAGATCCTGGTGGTGTGGATCAGTGAGTCGATGTCTCGCTCACACTTGGCGTACAGCTTGATGTCATCCATGTAGAGTAGGTGACTGATATTGGCCCCATTTTTGAGTCTGTATCCGTAGCCAGTCTTGTTGATAACTTGGCTGAGGGGGTTCAGGCCTATGCAGAACAGTAGGGGACAGAGCATCTCCTTGGTATATGCCACATTTGATGGACACTTGTGCAAGTGGTTTGCAGTTGGCTTCAAGGGTGGTTTTCCACAGCCTCATCGAGTTGCAATGAAGGCTCTCAGAGTCCTGTTGATGTTATACATCTCTAAGCATTCAATGATTCAAGTATGCGGCATTGAGTCATAGGCTTTCTTGTAATCGATCCAAGCCATGCACAGGTTGGTGTGTCGGGTTTTGCAGTCTCGGGCAACTGTGCGGTCTACGGGAGTTGGTGTTTGGCTCCTCTGCTATTTACACCGATACCCTTCTGTGCCGTGCTCATGTGTTTATCCATGTGTTTGCTTATCTTGGCCGCTATGATGCCTGACATGAGCTTCCAGATTGTGGAGAGGCAGGTTATTGGTCGGTAGTTGGGTGGGACTGGACCCTTTGATGGATCCTTCTGGATTAGGATTGTCCGCCCTTCAGTTAACCATTCAGGGTGAGTCCCACTTTGTAGCAGCTGGTTCATTTGGGCTGCCATTCGCTCATGGAGAGCAGTGAGTTTCTTTAGCCAGTAGGCATGGATCATGTCAGGCCCTGGTGCTGTCCAGTTTTTCATACCTGAGACTCTTTCTTGGACATCTGTCACAGTGATGGTTACCGGGGCTTGCTCAGGGAGGTTGCTGTGGTCCTCTCGTAGAGAAATCAGCCACTGTGCATTGCTGTTGTGGGACGCCTCCCTTTCCCATATGCCTTTCCAGTATTGTTCAGTCTCCAGCCTTGGTGGGTCTGCTCTGTTATTACCCTGCCATTGAGAGTACACCTTAGCTGGTTGAGTGGATTCATTCTCCCTTGTGTATCTCTTTAGGCGGCTGGACAAGGCTTGGAGCCTCTGTTTGGCAGTTTCAAGTGCTTCAGGTATGGCATCTGCCTGTACTTTCTGGGTACTGGTCTTTTCATTGTACCCTTGTGGAGCTCTGACAGTTGGCTCACTTCCCTCCTTGTTACCTTGATTTTAGCCTCTAACCGTCTTTTCCATGGTGGGTATTGGGTCTCATGGTTGCTCTTATAGCCAAGTATCTCAAGGATCACTGATGCTGAGTTGTAGATCAGCTCATTGGTTTCTGTTATGGTGTTGGTAGGGATCGTTCTCAATGCTGCATTCACATTCTCAATGAGACTTTCTGATGGTACTTCACTCAGCCGTTGTAATTGGCGCCGGGGAGGCCTGGTTGTCATTCGGGTCATGATTCTCTCTCTCAGGTCAGCAGCTGTCTCGTTCAGCTCTGTTTCGCTCATTGGGGCCGTGTATCCCCTCACTGGGTGGGGACTTGTAGTTAAGTCCCCACAGTCCTGACATCCGGGTTCCTCCCTTTTGCCGTAGCATTTGTGTTGTATCTCGTCAATCTCAAGTTGTGATAGCAGTTGCCGTTTGCGGATGTTGGAACACTGAGCTACTAGTTGTTTAGCGCTTAGTGTTGACTGGGGATGTCGAAGTAACCATTCCTTCCCCAGTCTTTGCATGTAACCTCTCTCACTAGGTTACTTGAGTAGTAGCATTCCAACAGATCCACATTTTCATCTCTCGCCCATTTCCGTCTTGTTCCAGTAGCCCATTTGTCATCAAGGTGCTCTGGTTCCCCAACACCTGACGCAGACATTGTTTGGCCGGGCGACGTCTGAGCCGGCATGTTATGCAACTTAGTATCTCTCATGGTATGAGGTAGGCAGTAGCTTGAAGGGTCTTGCCTAAGGACCCAGACTGGATTCGAACCCTGCCCTCTCGGGTGATATACTGATGCCTTATGTATTGAGCTATCCAGTCAGCTATCCAGTATATATATATATATATATATATATATAGGCTGTTTTCCACTTTTTAACTTGGGGTGACGGTAAATGTGGAGGGTGCTGGATTTCACAGAAACATTTATAAACAAATTCAATCTGCTACTAATTGCTTTATGTTGTATGAATATAAGCTAATGCAAAAACGGCAAAACTCAATAATTTCCATGAGAATTTATTTATATAAAATGTCTGAATTCTACCCACTTCTACAAATTGTGGTTACAAATGCCAGATGCAAAGGTTTTCAGAAGA